TCTCTTTCTTTTTTTTTTTTCTTAAAAAAATTTTATGCTGAGTTTTCTTTCTTATAAGGACTTCTTTATACCAATAATAATATTATAATAATAATAATAATAATGTCAACCACTACCACGGTTTCTCGTTTACCTTCACGTCTTCCCAAATCAGGCAAGACTGTAAATGGAACCCCAACTGGTCAACAACAAAAAACTCCCGCTACGTCTTCAAAATTACAAAAAATCTCGGTAAAAACAAAATTAAAATCTTCATCAACTGGTATAAATAAAAGTCCTGAAACTCCCACGTCCACCACGCAGTTACCATCACCAAAGTCAACCTCAACTAGTAACTCTCCTATTGCAGCAACAACAACAACGACAACAACAACAACAACAACAACAACAAAATCGACTACAAAATTACGACCTCCTATCAAGACAAGTATCGATGCCACGAATAAATCTTCGCTGGTAAGAAGTATGCTACCTTCCCCAAAATCCAGTGTTTCTCCTTCATCGAATATAAATGATCCTAAAAGTCCTACAAAGAAAATTTTAGCACCACAGACTGCAAAACAAACTTCTTTAACGAAACGAAAAATTGAAGATACTTCTGGTCGTACTGTACGTGCTGCATCTTCTCCAAATATTAAAAAATCAACAACTCAACCTCCTAAATCTATCGCCACAAAAAACACGCCTCGTAAAAAACCAACAACAGTACAAGAGCAATCTCGAATTTCTACAAAGAAACCTCTTAATTCTACTACTCCAACTCGTAAAAATGAAAGTATGAAATTAATCGCTGAACTTAAAGAGCTCCGAGCCGAAAATAAAAAATTACAGGCTGAGAATAAAGAGCTTATGCAAGAAAAAGGTTTGTTAACAGCCGATGTTTGCCAAATGGAACATCGTCTAGCATGTGAAGAATCACGTGTTTTAGAGTTGGAGGTGGATGTTGCCGATTTACGTTGTTTATTAAATGGAAAACATCATCAAATAGATCGTAACAACGACCATTATCGAAGCGAATTAAACATCGCTAATAACTTAATTATGGAACAAGCTGTTACGATGTCCGACCAACAATCCCTTATTGAAGAACTCATGTCCCAATTAGATGAACAAGAAAATATATGTCAAAATCTCCAGAATATTATCGATAATTTTAAAACAAAGCATAATATCCTAGATGATCTTAAGGATATTAACTTTGCCTTACAAATTTATTAAAACAACAAATACAAATCGGTCTACTAAATTCCATTTAATTTTGCATTACATGTTTTTTACTTCGACAGCGCGTCGGTGGACACACTAAATGTCTAAATCATTTACATTCCTTTCTTTTTCTTGCATTTATTGTTAATGCATTTAATGACTGTTCCTTTTCATTAAATTGATACTACTTGTACTTAATTATTACATTATTATTCTATTTTTTAACTTGTATCATTTGTGCGGTAGTATTAACTTGAAATATTATATTATTAATGAATTGAATTTGAGAAAATTTTTTTTTTCTTTTTACTAATTTTATGTGTAAGATCATTTTTAGCCGTAATTGTGTTATAGTCACTCATGATCAATTATAATTAAAATTAGTTCTTTAAATTCTTTAAATGTAAATAAATAAAATAAATTTTTTAAAAAAAACAACAAAACTTTTTGGGGAGGAGGTGATGAGTGCGTGATGTATGACACTATGTGACAAACATGCTCAGGTGATTAGGTGATAAATAAAATGTACCCCGTCCAAAAATTAGGTGTTGAGTATACTTCACCTTCACCACACTGGTTTCACTCAACAGGTTGTCGATCATTTAATAAAAAAAACTGGTCTATACTTAAATTTAATTCGTTCGTGAACATGTTACACAGGCTTAGTTGCAAAAAATTATTTTGCCATTTATTTGTGAAACAGTAAAAAATAACGCCAAGCATATAAAGAAAAGACGCCCCCCACAAATCCTTAGAAACTATTCTATATTAAGATGATAAATAATAATAATAATAAAAATAATAATAAAAATACTATTAATACACAATTTATACATAATTATATATATAAAATTAGCTTAAAGAAAAAAAAAAAAAAAAAAAAAAATTAATTATAAAATAAAAAAAATTTTTAAATCTTATTTAATCTTGTAATAAACCATCATTTCCACAACATAACCAATATTTCTTTGATTTCTTTTTCTTTTCGGTTGATCTAGTTGTGATTTGATTCGTTGTAGGATCACTTGATTCTTCCACTATTTCTTCTTTTTTCTCTTCGGTATTATTAATACTATAAAAAATTGAGGGGAAAAAGAATAATTGAGAGCAAATAAAATTATGAGAAAAATGAATTGAACTTTTTAAAAACTTTTACAGAAACTGTGATTTGAAGGGCAAAAAGAGTTTTATTTGTACAATTATTGAAATTAAATAATGCTAACTAATGTACAATAAAATCAATAATTTAAATATATCAATATATATACTAATGAATTGATGATATTAAACTATGTTAATCTATTTTTTGCTATAAGATTGCTTACGCTTTTTTTCCATTTACGTAGGCTGAAACAACTTCAGCGAAATCTTTTCCTTGAAGTCGTGCGGATTCCTTTTCTCTTTCTGAGATTGAGCGGGATGCATCAGATCCAGTTATTGTTCCGCTTCCCCATGGACCGCCTCCAATAACTTCGTCGGTTTGACCATAGTAAGGTATTCCGGTTTGAAGTGGAACATAAACCATACCATGATGAGCGAAATAAGTGACAGCAGTGAAAGCTGTAGTTTCTTGTCCACCATGTTGAGTGGATGTAGAGAAAAAGAGTCCAGCGAATTTTCTATTTAAAGCATTGGTGAACCATAATTGACCAGTACTATCCAAAAATGCTTTGAATTGAGCTGGCATAGTACCAAATCGAGTTGGAAATCCAAATAAGAACCCATCTGCTTCCGCAAGTTTAGCAGCTTTTTTATTTAAAATATATATGTTATTTTATATATATATATATATATATTATGAAATCCTAAAAAATTTAAAAAATAAATCAATTTGAATAATGTTCCTATACCTGTAATAATTGGAATATCTGGTTTAGGTGGGGCATGCATTTTATCCAAAATTTCTTGAGAGAGAGTCTCGGGAACTTGGTAAAGTTCAACTTGGACGCTTGGACTAACAGATTCAATACCTTTCTTGGCTTCTAAAGCCAATTGGTAGATATGGGTATAGGTGCTATAGCTATTATCGATGATAATAATTTAATTAGTTTTTAAATTTTTATCAATCGACAAAAAAAAAAAAAAATAATTGATACTAACATGACAATAAAGATTTTAACCATTTTTACGAGATTATTTTATCAAAAAAATATATATATATATATAATTTAATTTGTTTTTTTTTTTTAATATATTTTATTCGTTATGAGAATGAATATTCAAGATCTTAACTCGTTTGAGTCCTTTATATACCTTTTTTCATCATAAAAAAAAAAATTTTTTTTTTTTCGTCCTAACGTCATGACATTACAAATGTTCAAAAATTACTAAGATCAACATTCTATTAGTAATTAGATTACAAATACGTTAGAATTTCTTTATAAATGGGCAGAATTATGTTCAATTTGGCCAACATTATATTATTATAATTTTGGTCAATTTTACTATAGTTATTCATATCATTCACAAGATCTACAAACAAATAATTACAAATCTTTGGCAAACCACGTGAAATTGTGAAATTTTTGATTAATAATCAAACCAAATTTTTTGATAAAATTTCTAATTTTAAATCATCCACTATATATATTGAGGATCTGCAACCATTTTTTTTTATCGATCGATCGAAAAAAGGAAATATAATAATGATAATAATATAATAATATAATAATATAAACGAATTCCAAATTATTCTGTTTATCATATATAATAATCATTTTTAATCCAATAATTATGTAATATTTCAAGCTTTTAATAGAAGAAAAAAACGTACGGAAAAATGAGACAAAAATTAGAATTCTATATTGGAATAAAATTTTTAAAATTTGTAAGCAAATGGGTCAAAATAAATTATAATGTTGAACAATTATTCTTTAGTATTATAACAAGTATATTACGATAAATCACAGTATATGAATAATCTTAAATTAATTAATTGGTCGTAAAGTATATAAGGAATTAAATTCTTAAATTTCGATTCGGTATTCAAAATAATCAAAATAATTCAGTAGGTTCTTATCGGGATCATTCGGATAAAATGATGACGGGGAATCCGGATATTCCATTTTCATCCAGGATTAACTTATGATAACTATTGGTTAAATTGTTGAATTTTTAATAAAAGTAATAATTTTATAAAATTATTTATATTAGTAAAGCCGGACCAATTTGATTTTCTATTTAACAAAATCCCCCCCTTCAAAAATTTCAATTTTAAATAGACACCAAAAAAAGCAAAATTTTATCAAAAATTTGGTTTCTTATTGATATTAAAAAAAATTTTTATATAACCCTCATATTTTCAAAATTTTAATAGTAAAAAATAATTTAAAAAATTTTTGTAAATTATTTTTGGCCCCACCCTTTTTTTTTTCAATAAAAATTCTTGTAATCCTATTGGCCTGGCCTAATCAATAAAATTACCAATCCATAAAATAGCTTTCATCGTTTTCTAATATAGATAAAATAACTTTCATAAATTTCCATCTATATCACTCTTTAGAAATAACTTATATAACGGATACGAAAATAAATTAGAGAACTTTCTAATCCGACATTTTTCTTACATTTCTTAGAAAATATTAATAAAGATAACCTGATAACTTTTCATCTGTTATTTCGACAAAAATTATTATTATTTATCATGCAGTTAGAACCGTGTATCAGAATTAATTTTACACTTCATTGATTTTTATTTATAGTGAACTTTCAGCACTAAAATAATGCATCGATTTTATTTATAGTGAACTTTTAAAAAAATCCTCAAAAATTCTCGCAACGAATGTCTTATCACGACCACGACCTTTTTAAAGCAACACTTTATTTAGTGCATTTTTTTCGAAATATTAATTTGATATAACCTGTTTTATCATTGTGATTATCGTTATATTACGGAATTTATCAATTTAATTGCCACTGATATAATAAAATTCTATTTTGTAATAGAACAATAAATAAGTAAAATAAAAGCTTAAAGCTTAAATAACAATGAATAGACTAAATAGACTAAATAGACTATATACTTTAGTATCAATGTGAAAAATTCTATAACAGATAAAAGAAAGTTTAATTATGGCAAAAGCTTATTAAAGTTTAAAGTGTTATATATATATACTGTATATGTTCGAATTATTATTATTATTTCATTTCTTTTCATAACCTTTCGATTAAAAGTTATTCGACCAATATTTACCCAACTAAATTTCAAAAATAAATATTTTAATAATGTATCAACAAGAAAATAAATCAATTTTTACTTTTCCGAGGAGTTCTTCATCTTCACAAGGAAGTGTTTTAAACGCGTCTAACGATATATCGTTTGGACATGCAGTAAATTCTCAACAAGGAAATGGAATAGGGCACTCTTACAGGGATAGGTATTAATTAATATACGCAATTTTATATTCATCAAAGTATCAAATAGCATTTTTTTCGTAAAATGTTATAAACATTGATAAATATAATTATCGCGTTTAAAAAAAAAATAATTTTGAAGATTTATTCCTGTCAGAAGTGAAGATATGATATCCGAATTCCAGAGACGTTCTGCATCTACAAAACAGCAAAATCGAAAGAGAAAATTATCTGAAGCTGATAATGATCAAGGTAAATAATTTATATTGATTTATTATTATACCTTTCATTAATTTAACAAAACTTTTTTCTCATTATAGAAAGTGACCGCCTTCGCAAAATAATTGTACAACGAATTATGTTCCCTACTCGTTCTATTAATGATGAGATTACTAAGAATATTGATGCCAGTTCGGTTTCTTCTACCGATAATATTTTAAATTTTCAAAAGTCGTTTAATCGACGACCTGGATTTATTGATACACCTTACAGAGAAACTTACGCTACAACCCCGTTCTCACATGATATTGAGAAATTGATGGTGGCACCACAAAAATCAAACAGAAAAATTAATCCACAACCATATCAAATGCTTGCTTTCTGCAATGATTTAACACTCAAGGTTAATTTTGCAATTGAGATTATATTATCAAGAACATATGTAAATATTAATTTAATTATGTTCAAATTATGTAGGATGATTTTTATTTGAACATTGTTGATTGGTCCTCGTTTGATACGTTAAGTTTGGGGCTAGATTGTAGCGTTTATTTATGGAATACCGGAACCTCAAAGGTTAGTATTACATAAGTCGGATTTCTTTTTTTATTTAAAATACACATAGATAATCGAATACATTAAATTGAATTTAAAGATGACGAAATTATGTGATTTGGGATTTCCATATACTATCTCATCAGTCAAATGGTTTCCTCAGGTTTACCTTAATTATGTATATATATATATATATTAATCATGAAGATTTATATTGAATTTTATTTTATTTTTTTTTAATAGAACTTTCAACTTGCTGTTGGAACGACAGAAGGAAAAGTTCAAATTTGGGACGCGCAAAAACTTATGAAAGTTCGTGACTTTGACGGACACAGATCACGTGTCGGTAAATAATCAAAAAATTTTAAAAAAATATTGAAAGTAGAATATTATTATAATTCATTATAATATAGGAACTCTTGAGTGGAATAAAAATATTTTAAGTACTGGTAGTGGAGATCGTATTATTTACCATAGGGATCAAAGGAGTCCTGATGACTACATTCAAGCTTTCACCGGACATAAATCCGAGGTATTAATCATTTTTTAATGAAAAAAATATACATTATGATTGATAATTTTCGATCTTACAACTTAGGTTTGCGGATTGAAATGGAATTTAGAAGGAGATCAATTAGCAAGTGGAGGTAATGCTAACGAGCTATTTTTGTGGGAAGGCATGAACCCCACTTCAGTTCGAAAACTAGAAGGTCACAAAGCTGCAATTCGTGCTATTTCATGGAGTCCTCATGCTCGTAACTTATTGGCTAGTGGGGGTGGCCATTTAGATCGTCAGATACGTTTCTGGAATACAGTTGATGGAAGGACTTTGGCGTGTTATAATGCCAAGTCTCAGGTTATTATAATTAAAGAAATTCTTATTAATTTACATTTGTATTTTACTAAATGATGAAATTATATTTAGGTTTGTAACTTACAATGGTCGTCAACGGTGAATGAAATAGTTTCAACACACGGGTGGTGGAAAAATGATGTTATGATTTGGAAATATCCATCAATGCAAAAAATTGCTACGTTAAAAGGCCATACTTATCGTGTTCTTTATTTTTCAATTTCACCAAATGGAGAAGACATAGTAACTGGAGCTGGTGGTGACGATAATACTTTAAGATTCTGGAAGATTTTTAATACTCCAAGTAAGAACAAAAAGACAGAAAACAAATGTTCATGGAAACTCGATGGTCTTATTCGTTAGGCAAATTATTTTATAGACGAGTGTATATATAATTTATTTACTATATTTGAGGTATAATAAGTAGTATTATAAAATAAAATTTATATTTTATAATTCGTGTCTTTGTATATACTGTATATGTATTGCATTTTATTTTCATTGTATAAAATCCGAATAATATCCTGTCATTTTAAATCGTTAACCATACTTTGTAGTATTTAGTGTTAATTGATAAATGGGCTTTTTGCAATAGAAAGGGGGGAAACTACCGGAAAAATTAAATTTATATTTATATACTAAAAATGCTCCAAATATTGTAAATTAGCATTAATTAAAAAAATTTTTTTTTTAGCAGTTTCCCTCCTTTCTATTGCAAAGAGTTTATATGGATGACTCAATAATAATGTAACGAAAAAAGTAGTCTCGGTCTTCTAATTCACAATAATCTTCTAATTCACAATAATAAAATTTCTGTTGTTTTATATACAGTAAATCCTTTACAAGAGGTTATTTATTTATATAACATCGATATTCCATTGTTTAATCACATAAAAATTCTTTAAGTTATTCAAAAAAAGCAAATAAGCTGAAAATATCACAGCAACTGAATGAATGTTTTTATTACATATCAAAAAAAATAAAATGAATATGTACAGTACATTAAAATTGATTTATACATTCGCATCCCTCTAGCAGTGGTAGTGATTAATATGGTGTAAACAGGGTTGTAAAATCTAAGCAAGCAACCAAGCAACTAAGCATGGTATCATTATACTTAACCAAGTGTTGGCATTGGCGGCCAGAATACAGTATAATAATCATAAGGTAAGAATTACTTGAAGAAACGTAAACAATTTGTTGAGAATAGAAACAGAACAGAATATTTGGATTATAATCTTAATATTGAGATTGAGTATATTTGGCATTAAATAATATAAAATTTTTTGTAAATGGGCATATTTTTTGGCTAGAAATATAAATTATAAAAACCCGACCTGGCTCAAACTATATATTTAATAGTTAATATTTTTAAAATTTTAAAAATTGAAATAATTACTATAGTTACTATATGCAGCACTATATGACAGTACTTGATATAATTATATTAAATCACTAATTTTCAATTTTACTATTTAATAAATATAGGGTAAATTTAGATCTCGCGATGTTTAAATCTCGCCTTTATTCCAAAAAAGGATATTTTTATGCCGATCATTTAATTCTGGCCAGAATTAAATACGTCACGTGATTTAACGAAAAAAAACCCTGAAAGAAAGTTTTGTCAAACCCATCTTTGATGCTTTAAATAAATTTACAGAGCAGGGAAAAATACACATAATAAATATTTTTAAAAAGTTTCCATATTAAGAATTTCTTTTTTTGTTACAGGATGCAAAATTTTAACATAATATACACTTTTCTTTAATAAAATAAACATTCCAAAATAAGCACTTCTTACTAGAATTAATTTTAACTTACATTATGATGAGCAAACTTGATTGGTAATTGGCATTATATGCAAAAAGAAGGTGCTATTTTTGAAATTTTATAGTAAAAAAAAATCTTATAAATAATATATAATATAAGAACTTCTTTACTATTTTCAAACAAAATTTCAAATTTATTAGCAATTTCCCCAATTCTTTTTGTTTTATAATTTTATCTTAAATAGTTTATTATAGGATAAAAAATACAAATAACAAAAGTAAAAAGTATAAATAATAGTTATTTAAAATGTTTTTTAAAAAAAAATAAAAAATAATTAAATATAAAGTTTATATTATTATAAACTAAATTTTTATTAATATAATATATTTTAATTCTTTAAATTTTATACTTAATTATAAATTATCTATACTTATAATAAAATAATAAAATTAATAATAATTTATTAAATAATTTTATAATTAAAATATTATTTGGAATTTAAAATTTAAGTTATAATAAAATTAAAAATTTGGAATTTGATACTATATATATTATATAAAAAATTTAGAATTTAGAATTTGAAATAATTTAGAATTGGCAATTTTAAATTTAAATTATATATAAATATTTAAGAACAACATTTTTTTATACAATTATTAATCTTAGCCTATTATATTACTTTAATAATAAAACAATGGATTGAAAAAATCACAAGGTATTACTATTGCAAATAAACATTTCAGTTTTGAGTTTTTCTTTAAATAGATTAATTAATTCTACTTTGACAAACAATCAAAATTTTCTGACTACTTGTTAGCATTATGTAAAACTTATATTTAAGTAGATTTTTAATAATAAAAGCAGTTTTAATAAACCAGTAAGTTTATTTTATACCTATTCCTTAAACTGTTTTGCAGCCAAATTTGCCTGCAATTTTGTTTTTTAATTAAAGGCACTTAAATATCTTAAAATATTTTATTATATAAACCAATGTTTTTGTAATAAATTCTATAGTATTTTTTAAGTAAAAATTGAAAAAAAAAGTTCAATTTAATTTAATGATTTTTTAAAAGTAAATGATCAACAAATTATAACAAATAGTAGTTAAATTTTTCAAATTGAAATATCTTTTATTCATTAATCCTAGAAATATAAAATTACCACCATTTGATGCGTCTTAATAGGAAGAATCTGATAGAAATAAAATTGTCCTTCTACAAATATTATGTAACAGGATAACTTATAAAATCTAAAAATTTATAAATTGATATAACTTTTTATTTATCAATTTTAGAGTTATGATTTTATTACCATTAAATGCGCCTTAATAAGAGGAATCTAACAAATATAATTTCATCTTTTTATGATCACTAGATCTTAAGATATTTTAAAAATTCAAAAATTTTTAAAATGAATTTTAACCCTTACAGTTTAAAGAATAATAATTTTTATCTACCACTTTCCACTCCTTCTTTTTTATATATATATTCTGATTAATTTACTAATATGATTCTAATTATTTAATCTATCTTACAAGGCTATATTATTACATATATATTAAATCTGTAATTATTATTAGCTTCCTTTTTTAAATATTTAAAAATTTTTATTAATGATATATAATTTATTTTATTTATTTAACTTTATTTTACATTATTTTATTTATTTTTATTATATTACCATTTTATTATTATATTATTTTAGTTAATGCTTTATTATCATCTTTATTATAGTTAATTTTATAGAGTATAACTAGACTGACTTATTTGGAATTTTATTTTGTAATAATCTAGTAATATTATATCTCCTTTACTATTTGTTAAGTAGAACGTATGCTGATTCTTAAAAAAAAGAAAATTATATTACTTTAAATTATATAAAATTATACAATTGTTTAATTACTTATAATAATATTATTGTTTATTTTTATCACTTATTTTATTAGTTATTTTTACATTAATTTTTATATATTTTGCTATTATTGTATTTTTGAATTTATATTATAAAAAAATATAAATTAATCAAATAATAGAAAATAAATAAAATAAATAATAAACGTGAATTATACTTTAAAAATCAAACCTTATAATATTAATAATAAAATAAAAGACTTTCAATACTTATATTATAAATTTACTTTAAAATTAATTTTACTGAAACTGGAGAAATTTGGCATAGTAATTTATTTATATTTTTTTTTTATATTATCAGATTCATTAAAAATAAGTAATATAATATTATACAGATTATAGCAAAAATTATAGTAATTAGTTTTTTAATATAAACTTTATAATAAAGTTATGGAATTCTTTTATTTTGCAAATAATCTATTTCTAATCTGCATTAACATATAATTCAATTTGATTGCATGCAATTATTGTAATTTTACTATTGATAACTATACTATTTTCAAAGTTATTTTACTCCTTTCTGAAGAAACTAAGAAATGGCTCATAATTTTTTTTTTTTTCTGTATTTCCATTTTCTTAATATGTTTACTTTAAATCCAAATTCTCACTAGGATTTGAGACAAGGAAAACTTATTAAAAATAATCTTTATATTATCTCAAACATTATGGAAGTTGTTAATTTATATCTTTATTATAATAAAAAATTCAAATAATCCAAAATTATTAGTTAGTAAAAAATACATATATTCTAAGGTTTTCCACTTGGTTAAGTATAATGAACCATACTTAGTTGATTGCTTGCTTAGATTTCACAACCCTGTTTACACCATATTCTTAATGAAAATTAAAAAAAAGTGAAATGTAGTATGATATTTAGAATGTTATAAAATTAACTAATGTCTATTTGAAATTACTTTTTAAATGAGCATCTCGTTGTTTAATTTGGTATAATAAGTAATAGGAAGTTATGACCAAATTAAGAAGCGGTGTTCTCATCGCTATTAAAAGAGCAGGTGTTGTTAAGTTATTGATCTATAAATAAAATTAAAGTATTAAATGAATCAAAATGGAAACAATAATATATAAAATTACTAAAGACACATAGATACATACAGTTAGAACTCACCCTCCAGTTCACTGAATTTATAATTTGATATAACGATTTTATATGTTCATATATGAAGATAAAATCTTTTTATCATGAAATTCGTTATTTCATAGCTGTTATATCGAGTTCTGACTGTATACCAGATTCATCGAGATAATCCTTCATTTTCTATTAATCATGAAGTTCAAAGATAATCAAGAATCGGAAGGAAATCTACTGTTTCGTTTAAACTGAACTCTTTATTAGCAGTCTGCAAGAACTTCATCGAATAACCCTTACTGGTAATCTGCGATGCGTTTCTATGTTGCAAATATGCCTTTATAGTACCCAATCTTTAACATTTATCTTGATATTCTCAGGCAGGCCTGCTAAAAGGCGATCTAGTAATCTGATTTTAAACATATACAGTATGTATACTATTACTACTATAAATTGATTTTTTTTTGTTTTATCCAGTTTTTCAAGCGTGGATTGTATCATGTGCTAAAATATTTAGGTTGGATTAGAAGGATACTTAATCAAGTACTGATGTACCTTATCACTTCATTGTATAATGAAAAGGTCTAGTAGATCGGTCCATCTTGCTGACGAGATTTTAAGGGTTAAAATTACAAAATGGGAAATATTATGATTCCTATATTTAATATTCAACAGCCTATACGGCCAAAATAATTTTTAAAAATAATTTAAATGATTTACAATATTTATTAAATTTATACACCACCTTTGATTCTGGACATGATCTGAATCATAACAAATTTAACTTTCAATTTAGTTTACTGGATTATTCACATGGATCCCGCAGCGTACATTTTCGCGATAGGCGCAATAAAAGCTCATACGACTTCATAGATTGCGCGTTAAACTTTTATGAATAATGTGCATATGAATAATCAATTTTCAACAGTCTTTCTAAATGGAACGCTTTATTAAATTAAATTACAATAAACTTATACATTTATGAAAACACAGCAGGACGAACCCATTATGCCACTTAGCTAAGGCTTAATTCTAAGATTCCTATCTAATATATAAATAGATGCAACAAATTATAAACAAAAATGAACTGTCTAACTACAAATTTAAATTGTGTTACGTGATTACAAATCTACTGGTTTATAATTTTCAATCGCTGTTTCTCCTAACCGTCTTTGTCGAGTACCAAAAATTTTTTAGTATATTTTCCGTTCGAGTTTTATAAAACTTGGTCTGGATTTTTTTTTTCAAAAAAAAAATAAAAAACAAAATAAATTTTGCTGACATACCGATTGCGTATTTGCTTTGGATTGTATTGAGGGAGCAATTTATTTATTCTCGCAAAGCTTCTGGGCAAATGGTTCCCTTCCGACATACCTCGTTTAATTATTGAATCGACCTAAAAAGGAACAATATTTTTCTTTAATTGGTTAAACAAAATATTTATTCATTTAATTTTTTTTTTTTAACATACGACTGTATTAAGATATTTTTTCATTTTTGAATTTTGTTTCTTTGAAAATGTCTTCTTCGGTTTGTGGCAATTAAATGAGTGGATAAGAAGAGCAATCAATGCGAACGTTAAAGTAGAACTCTGTCCACTCCTTTTATAATAATTTGACACATATACCTCTTTTATTAGTAATTCTTTAACCTACCTAATGTGTAAATAATGTATTATCTAAGAATAGGGACATGACATTTTGTGATCCAATCACTCACGATGGAAAATATTTTATTTGGTAATTATAATTGGTCTCATACATTATATTTTGTTGAGTTTAATTGGTCATCATAAAACATCATCGTTTTCTCTTGGTTAAATATAATTGTTATTTCACTTACTCAGCTGGTAAAGCCCCTTTTTAAATTTCCATATAAATTACATATATCATTATAAATTTATTAGTTTGTGTTGAAATAAATTTAGTTGTGACCGTTTGGTAGTTCATAATTTACCAAGAATTGGCAAAACGTTTATATCATTCATTGAATAATTAATAAAAGAATGTTTTGATAATAGTGTAACAAAGAAAATTATTAAGGGACAATAGAAATCACGTGCTAAAGGTCATAACTTTTATTGCAGCAAGATTTTTATTTTTACAGGTAATATTATTAAGCAAACTTTTTGTACAACAATTAACTAAACATATAAGTCATTGTATAGCACTATTTTTCTTCTTTTGAATCCTCGTTATTCTCCAGAACCACATTCTTTCTTGTACCACTTTCCAACATAGTATCGTTCTGTCGAATATACTATGTATATTATCTATGCTCATATCTTTAGTTTTTGATTTTGGTTTCAGCTCTATCTAAACAAATGTGTTATACAAGTTATTTAACTATGTGAATCCTTAAGTGTCACAAAAATCAATGACAAGGCCAGAAAAAAATTTTCACTTTCGTTTTTTTCTTGTTCGCATCCTGGTACTAAATAATCTTATACAATTTTGAAGTTACTTCGGCAATGCAATATATACCTCTCCCTTTCTTACCTTTCTTATTATGTAATCTCTCTACTAGTAATTTTAACAATAAAATAGTGCAAGCGCAAACATATGACAAAAGGCCCAGTTAATCAGAGGACGTAACACGGCATCTACTACATATCATAGATCATAGACATCTAAAAACTTAAAGTTCATGTGATAATATTAAGCATAACATTAAATTCTTTTATTAAATTAAGGAGTGGCCATTGATCAGATTTTCGTGATGCAATCATATTAACCCAAAAGTGTATCAAGCATTGCAACTTTTTTGAAAAGCAAAAAAATACACAATGACAATTCAGTATCATTCCAATTCGGGATACATGACGCACTATCGTCTCCTTTGGATGAAGTACAAACTGATTATAAATTCTCTTGTTTTATTATTTACTCCTACACAAGATACCACTATACGAATGAATATATCGGAAAAATAAAAGCATGATTATTAGACAACCGATCTAAACACGTACATGGAAGATAGCCATCATTCTAATGATAGCTTTGTATTGACTTCGACCATTAATGCTTAACGAATATAGAGTTAATCGAGAATCTGAGAAAAATAGGAACATTGTATGAGAAATGCAATCACTAACACAAGTATAAATCATGCATTTACTCACTGATAGACTGGATACTATACACCCTAATTTTTGTAGCAAGACTTAAGCTACAATCAAGGTGATGTCGGTAGTATTGCGATTAAGTTTACAATACTCGTTTGCATGGTTTTCTTTACATCACTCATATTCTCGGTTGCATTACATGGAGGACATATGAAATATATCAAAGCCATCGAATATTCTCGTTCCCTCAGTGTCTACTCAAACAATTCCAGAATTCGTAGAAAACTTCATAATTTTCGCGACGTGGGCATGCAATCGAATTCAATTAAAGAAAACGTTCTCTCATAGAACTTGAATAATGAAGAAACTTGATACACTATGTGTTTGCGCTCGCCAATTTTTCTGCTCATTATAGGATAAACGACCACGAGGTGGTAACTAAGAGGAAAGCAGTTGTCAGTATCTCTTTTTATGGGGAAACTAATAGATATTGATGTCTACCTACAAATCGATTAAATTTTCTTTACAATATAATTGAAAAAGGTTCTCCCAACGTCCAATACTTTGTCCTGAACTTTATCTCGAGAAGTTTCTTTATTTCATTCAAGGACGGTGTCAATGTAATTCTCTAACGTAGGTGTCCACATTTCAGGGTTAATATCTCGCACCGATGACATTTCTTAGCGAATTCTTCTCCTATTTCCTCTGATAAATCCTCAATTGTCTTGGATATATCTATCACACGAAAAAGTGACAAGATGTCACCTGTTTCGTGAAAACGATACATAGAAAGCAGAAATTTGAAACTTACCGTTGAAATTCCCCTTTCTCAAAGGATCTCTTGTGTTAGATCCCGAAAAGTTTGCGGTGGAGTTTGTGAAGTTCGTGGAGTTCTTGAAGTCCCTAAAGTTCCTCCAGATGATAGAGACCTTGAAGTCTCTGAAGTTCCTAGAGACCCTGGTTGCAATGATTCTGAAAGGCACTGGTTTCATTAAGGTATAACGTGTCCCTGCAGGGTTATAATGTGCTGAGCATTATGTTCGAAAAGAAGCGAATGTATACATATCAACTTACCTCAACGGTGTTTTGAACAGCTGCACTGTTTTGGCTGCAAGGACCTTGGAAAAGACATTGCAACATACTTCTATTATTGCTTGTCCAGAATCAGACTGTAATAATTCGAGTTTTGGTTGTATAAGGATTCAAATGCTATGTACTACTCCAACAAAAAGATAGCGATAATACTACACATTTAAACCATGCGAGATAATCAGTACAGAAAGCTCTGACTGGACCCGTAGCAATGAGTTGATTCAGTAGAGTATCAGTAAAAAGAGTAAAGGCCTGAACAAAGTCAAGCTCCGTCCAGTCCCACTCCATGTAATCTTGAATATACCAAGCAGAGGCCTTCCGCTCCTTGAAATAATTATGAACATTTTTTACGGTCTCGCTGTAATTAAATTCAAAATGTCCGGTCGTTAAAAGTCGCGATCCACGCGTATTGCGCGTTTTTAAAGATACACTAGTATCACGTGACGGTGGCGAATTTAGATAAGTTTCTAGGATGAGCTGCATTAATTGATTCTACGATTTCTTCAGGGATTTCTGCTTGGTTTCATTGAACAGATAAACTTTCATTACTATGAACAATCGAGACTTCCTGGTTTCCGCTTGGCATTTACAAATAATGCTTGCGAATTTTGATTGTACCTTTTATAAGTTGTTGCGACTTCATCATACTGGCAGTCAGGACATTGGTTTTGGATATTGTACAAACTATAAACATCCAGCGATACTCCATTTAGCATCAAGGTAGTTGATTACTTACTTATTTATATAGTTCCATTATTGATACTTGGAAAATAAACCAAAAGCTAATAATTAATTTAATGAAAAACACTAGACTTTTTGGCCAGCAATCTCCATGACATTAAGTAGACATGATCATGTCTATCGAAACAACTATCCCGGGTTTTTGCTGGCAAACATCAGCCAAAAGAGGTTGCAATTAGTGGTGGCACACAGTTGGGGTGAAAGATATTGCTTAAAGATCAATATCACAAGTGCATAAGAATTACTTTCTCGAGTTAAGTAAATATTTCAATTGGAACGTCAAAGTTCAAATTGGAAATTTTTTATCTAACAACTCCACAAAAAAGAACTCGATATTGTTAAATTTTATCATAACTCAGCTCGGAAATATTTAGAGGAAAAAATAGCGAAAAGATTTAAGGCTTAGACTATTACTTATTAGAAAAGAGGCGGTCGAGAGCATATTTTAGACGTTGACGAATATTCCGTGTAATTGACATAATTATTTTTAGTACGGGGTTAAAAATAAAATTTTGTCATTTAATACTTGGACCATTACAAATTTGAATAAATTGCATCACTTTACACAAACTAAAAAAATAATTTGTACGAAAAAATTAATTCGTTTCAGATTGGCGAATTTGGTATTGCCAATCCACTTGAATTTATAAATTTAGTAAGGAGTCTGGTTTAATACAACCTCACGTGATCTAATTGTTATTTTACATTAGGTTTTTAATATACGAATTTTTTGAAGGGATACAAATTTAATAAAGTAACCGGAAGAACGACTAATTTAAATGGAGTAAAAAGTAAAGAATAACCTAATAAAGACGTATAACTATAAATCAAATCAAATACTCTACACAATAATTTCGACCAATAATAAAAATGAAAACAAAAAGAACTACATATGTATTTGATATGTGGAAGTAATGTGAATTGGGTGGGAATATATTTATTTAATAAAACGAACAATTTGATTATAAAATAAAAAATATAAATCAATAAAAGTTATAAGGGATGATAATAAAATAGGTCAATTACATAACAAAAATAAAATTAATTATTCATCTAAGTCTACAGCACTAAACATTTGCGAGGTTTCTTAGTGACTGGTGGTTCCAAAGCTGCGACAATTGCTTCATCAAAAACATTCTTTAAACCCTTTTGCGTCAAAGCTGAGCACTCAACATATTTAACCGCTCCAATTTCTCTAGAAAGTCTATCTCCTTGCTCTGCTGTTACCGGTCTCATCTTTTGTCTCGATAATTTCTCAACTACAGAAGGATCATCTCGCAAATCTATTTGCGTACCTACAATCAAACATGGAACTCCAGGACAATGATGATGAACTTCCGGGAACCATTTTTCTTTAACGTTTTCAAAGGAAGCTGGTGAAGTTACAGAAAAACAAACAAGGAAAACATCCGTCTGAGGATAAGATAAGGGACGAAGACGATCGTAATCTTCCTGACCTGTTTAAACATTATTTTATTAATTAGCAATTGCAATCAATACAAATTGACATAGCCCTACAATGATTTCAATAAATAACTGTCACTTTAACGCACCAGCTGTGTCAAACAAACCCAATGTATAAGGCTCATCGCCAATCATAACCGTTACCGCATAATTATCAAAAACCTTGCCAAGAGAAAAAAATTTTTTTCTATTAACTTTCGTTCTAATAATAATAATAAAAAGACAAAATATTTAAGCGACAACTAATTTAATTTAAAAACTTACTGTAGGGACATATTCGGACGGAAATTTGTTGGTTGTATATGAGATTAAAAGACACGTCTATCTTCCCCCATCCATATATAATAAAATAAAATTAATAAATGAAAAAAAAATGAATGTTTTAATTTTTTTTTAAAAAAAAATATATATAAAGCTTGTGTTCTTAGAAATAATAATAAAAAATGAGGCGAATTGTTTGAAATTTTAATTATTTCGCCAAATTATGACCAATCTACTTCATTCAAAAGGTACCACTTGTCCGAACAACGAAAAAAAGAGAATAATCTAATTTATGGTCACATTCCTTTGATTGCATGTTGCTAACTTATGAACGGTTGATCGGCAATACGGAAGCAAAATCTTCCTCAGCCGTCTAGAATGACTATACCTTCTCTAAACTAACAAAGAATATAATAAAATTAAAGGACTTGTTTACCTTGCCAACAGCACCATCACCAACGACTACACACTTTATTGTTTGCATAATTATTAGATATATATATTGTATAAATTTCTCTAACAAAAAGAAAATATATTTGAGTACCCAACAGAGACAAAAGGAACTGAAAAATAGGGAAGAAAATAAAGCCTAGGAAGGGAAAGGTATTATTCACTACGGATGTAAGAACTTTTTTTTTTTTTTAATGAAGTAAAATGTAAAGGGGTCTAAGCTATCAAGTGTACTTGTCCTTCCTACGCTATATTATTGATAACTTACATCTGCAGATGGGCCGATTTAGGCTTGTTTCACGAAATTCTAAATTACAGTACCAGTTTCATCAACTCGTCCTAAACGTCACGCAGTTTATAAGTTGGAACTATCAAACCATTTATTAAATTTCGTGGCTAATTTGCTAAGCAATTTTTTCTTCTTCCGTAACTTATTCTACTTTTGCAAATGAGAATTTTTTTTTTTAAAAAAAAAGAGTTACTCGTTTCTCAATTCCCGATTTCATTTTATTTATTTACCTCAATGTTTGACAGTTAAGTTGTCAAACTTGTGATCGAATATTCTTTAAGATTTCCTTCTTTTATATTATCTAATACAATAGAAAGAATCAAATGAATTCTTTTCATTGGATATCACTATTATAATGTGTTACATTGAAAATTTTGAATGGAAAAAAATTCAATTTTGAAAAGTTCTTATTCTCTAATGAAAATTTATTTATTCAAATTTAATTAATTCACTTTTTTTTTTAAAAAAAAAAAAAATTAAACATAATGGATGATTCTAAACTATGGGAAATTTAATACAGAATAAACGAAGGGGGAGGGGGAAGTATATTTACAGAGTAAATTTAAAATCATAACATTGTTTTTTTAGCGTAATCTTAATATATTTATGGATTATGGAAGAATTCAAAGACTTGATAATTAATTTTTAATTAATTTTACGAAATTCAAAATAAAAAATTTTTGATTCTAAATTGAAAAAAAAAAACGGCAATAAAATCGGATAACGATTAATAATCTGAAAATGAATTTAAGTTAATTGATAATGCCTAATAATACTGCTAAAATACGTAATTGTCTTAAACATTCTACTACTTGAATACTAAATAAATACCAATAAATATTCATTGTATTTCGTACGTTGTTTAAATTATCATTTCTCATGTTTACAAGTAATCGATGTAACGTAAATACCAAATATAATCGCATTCTCGCCTTTTATTCCAATGTAAAATCGTCACGAATAACAAGTAGATCTAATAAAAGATAAATATATATATATTTTATATTGTAACTTTAATAAAAGATCAACAATAAGATAATGAATCTCTGAAACATACCATAATAAATAATAAAAAAAAATAAAATAAAATGAAGTATCATCCATGTGGAAACCATTTTGCTGAAACTTCATTCATAATATATTTACAACTTTCTGGGTCCCACCGTTCAAAATAACAACCCACTAATTCAGTTGTTACCGGTCCAAGAGCCTTAGCTAGTTCCCAGTCTGCCTCATCTCCTATATGGTCCCCATACACACTTGCTGGCACCATCCTTAACAATCGTTCTGAATCGTATGGTTCAATAACTAATGTTTTTTGCCCACAATATAAAAACGAGCCTCGGTGGGTCAACACTTCGTAAAAAGGCTCATTTCGCGGTGATTCAACATCCTAAAGAAACAAATACTTTTGAATTATAGAATATATTATACGATTGTTTATATCGATAATTTTGAATTTATATTACCGTCCATACGAATTTAGCCACATTTGCTGCAATTTCAGCATTGTAAGCTGGAAAACAATCAAAAGATATATTCTCATTTTCTATTTTAAATTCAAAATTTCGTATAAATCCAATAAACTTAAACTTACTTCTATCCCAGCGACATATCACACCTAAACTATGAAATTTTTTAAAACAAACAACGTCGCCTATAAAGAATTTAGGATCTTTTTTTCCTAGTTGGCCCCGAATTGATTGACCTGAAGCATAGTCCCAATCGATACGATCATCTTCTTCCAAACCTTCAATATCAGCTTTCACATTTTCAATTAATCTTCGCCACATTCCTTGCTCGGGCATCGTCCCTGTGGATATATATAGTTCAATATCAGATATTGCTGCTTTTCCTAATTCATAATCTTCTGGGTATCGATATCTCGCTGCGATAAACGACCACCAAAAATTCATAAGTCTACACATATCTCCAAGTGAAAATTCTAAAAAATCGGGTGATTTAAAATGATCTGGTGACCTAATAAAATGTAACTGCAATGCAGTTCCATAAATTATATCTCGATTATATCCTCTAATTGCAGTAAGGCTTTGCCAATAGTCCTGCAAAAACAGTCTAAATAATCTTCGCTGTGGAATATATTTATATTCTGGTGTATATGAACCATAAAACTTTGAACTGTGCCTGTCAAACTGTTCAATTGTAAGCACTCCTGTCTCAGAATGTTTCTTAAAATCAATATGATAAATATCATGATCCATTTCTTCTTCGTCTTCGTTCTCCTGATGATCATGATTCGTCAATAGTGGAGTTGACGAATAAAAATCCCTATATCGAACAAAATGATACCTTCTAAACGTTATTTTTTCGCGATCAGAAACAACATCCACATTATTTATCCCAACCTTTCCCGCCAATTCTTGAAACAAAACGGTCATTAAACAAGCTTTGCTTTGTTTTGTCTCCAAAAGCGGGGTAACCAAATACAAAAATCTGGTTTCAATATCTAGAACGGAAGCAGTGGATGGATATTTTTCCCCAAAAAATTCGGCCAGACGTCTAAATTTATCTAATTGAGATTCGGGAGGATCCTTTTTACAAGTTTCATTAAATTCTGCAGCCAATTCATCAATTTCACGGGTTATATCTGCAACGTCGAAACGTTCATTGTAAAATGAAGCCATTAATGCGAACCCTTCCAAATTAGAGACATTTAACTCATAATTACGCCATGCTTTCCATTTCTCAATAACACTACTTCGACGAATGAACTGAAGAGCTCGTTTTGCGAAGTAACAATGAGTGAGGGTCGTCTAAAATAGTTGATTAATTACGCGTAATTAGCCAGATCAGTTTTTTGAAAAAAAAATACATATTTTTTTTTTTATAATAGTAATAAATATCAATCAATTACCTCGTTAGGGTTATCCATAACCCATATTAACATATCACGACAATTATCCCCTAATTGCCTCAATTTTTTCATGTTTGCCAAATAGAATGGACCTCCGGCACTTAATTCATCTAAAATTTCGAACGCCCATCGATCAGTTGCCATTCGTGCGAGAAAAACTTGTCTCCACCCATCTGCTTTCTTGGGCTTTGACTTCCAGTATTTCCATCTACACGGATTAAAATTATAAAATATTTCAGCTCATAATAGATAGAAAAGCGAATTTATTTTGTTAAAGGTAATGTACGATTTACAAAAAAAGTACCTTTGTTCGCAAAATTCTTTCCATAAAGAATCCGCGTAGCAGGCGTCTCTCCATAACCTTGAAACTTGTGCACATCGTGCAACATCCTCTGCCTCTAAATGAAGTAGAATATGTTTAAGGCAAGAGGCTTGGATTTGGGTTCGTGCCATGCTCGTTTAATGACGTTAAAAATCGTTAAAATCTAATAAAAAAATGTATAAAGAACATCTCATATAAAGCATTTGATATGTTTCACAATAATTGGGGCAAAGCACATCAGATTTTATGCAATCAGTATGTAGTCATAACGTTTTACTACATTATGGTTGCATTACAATTTTATAGTTGTAGATTATAAATAAACTCACTATATAAAGACTTTCGTGAAAGCAAAACCTTTTTTTTTTGTTTTTATGGACGATCTCAAACTTCTCTAATCTAACTTTTCCCTCTGATGTGATCGATATCGAATTGATTCGCATAACGTGTAAAATGGCGGTTTTTTTCTTAGTAAATTTATTGAAAATATTTGAAATCTTAAAAAACTATCAATGATAAACCGGTTACATTCCATATATAGCAATCAATAATCCACAATACTACTTTAAGGATAAATAAACTTGTAAAAATATCTACTGATATCATTAATTTTTATAAGAATAAAGAAACCTGTTTATATCGATCTAAATATGATCATATGAATACAATCAAGTATCTCGTATTTACACAATAGGTTATTTTGTGTTTCGATCTATATGTTTTACTTAATGATGATCTTTATGCTATGCTTGTTATAAGTTATAAGGAGAAGCTTTACTAATTGAAAGAAATAATATTTTTTAAATGGTTTAGAAGCATAATCACATGAAGATTCAATAATTTTGCCAGAATTACGATTTTACGATTTTACGATTTATAATTAAAGCAGGTCAAACAGTAAGCATATGCATCATATCGTGATGTACAATGCATACATGTTTGTATTACTTTTTTTCAATCGAATCTTTTCTATACCGATAAAAAATGCTCTCTTCTATCACTTCTCGTTTATCTCGGAATATATCAGTTTTTAATGGAAGATCGTTTGTACGTCAATTTGCTTCTGCTTCGGCAGAAACCGTAAATATTAAATTACCCGAAAGTTCCTTTAAAACTTATAAATGCGATCCGCCTTCACTTGATATTGAAGTTACAAAGGACGAACTGCTCCGCTTGTATAAGGAAATGGCGGTTATGCGTAGAATGGAAACAGCTGCTGACGGGTTATACAAGTCGAAAATGATTAGAGGTTTCTGTCATTTATGTACTGGTCAAGTAAGTTGAAAAACATGAAGCGCTGATTTGAAAGAATGTTGTGAATAGTACATGATATATTTTTGTTATTGTTTTTCTCAAGGAAGCAGTAGCAGTAGGTATGGAAGCTGCAATTACGGAAGATGATGCAATTATCACTGCATACCGCTGTCATGGATTCACCTATGTTCGCGGTGGAACTATTCATTCAATTTTAGCTGAGCTTATGGGTATTTATTTTTTGTAATTACGCGTTATCCGATTAGAAATGCCAAGAAATTTAATTGAGTTAATTCGTTTTATAATAAGGTCGTAAGGCTGGAATTTCACGAGGAAAAGGTGGTTCTATGCATATGTTTTCAAAGAATTTTTATGGGGGTAACGGTATTGTCGGTGCTCAGGTATTTAAATCTTTTATCTTATTTTTTTTTAAAAAAAAAATACTTTTACTGTGGAATTGAATAAAATCAACTTGTAATTTCTTTTCAGGTTCCTGTTGGAACTGGAGTGGCATTTACACAAAAATATTTGGAAAAAAAGAATGCTACATTTATATTATATGGGGATGGGGCAGCAAATCAAGGACAAGTATTTGAAGCTTTTAATATGGCTAAATTATGGGATTTACCGGCAATATTTGTTTGTGAGAATAATTTTTTTGGAATGGGAACGGCAGCAGGTAGAAGTTCTGCTAATGCACAATATTATACTAGAGGTCAATATATTCCAGGTCTTCAAGTCAATGGAATGGATGTATTAGCTGTGAAACAAGCCTGCTCGTGGGCAAAGAATTGGACAACTAATGATCAAGGACCACTTGTATTGGAAATGGTAACGTATCGCTATGGAGGTCATTCAATGTCTGACCCAGGTACAAGTTATCGTACACGTGAAGAAATTCAACATATGAGAAGTACAAAAGATCCCATTACAGGTTTAAGACAAAGAATTTTAGAACTTGGTTTTTCAACTGACGATGAAATTAAGGTATATAATAGAAAATAAAGTATATGTTTAATTCTGTGCATTACGACTAAATTATATTTTAATTCATTTAGAAACTTGAAAAAGAAGCAAGAGCAGTAGTTGAAGAAGCAGTAGCTGAAGCACAAAAGGAACCACAACCTGATGAATCAGAAATATTTACAAATATTTATGCTAAAGGAACTGAACCTCCAATTATTCGCGGTCGTGAACGCGAAGAATTTGCTGTTATGAATCAATAAATTGTTGAGTTGTTATTATCATTTAATAGACAGGAAGGTGTAAAATTTTATGTACGTCGTTGTACAAATTTTCTTTTTATTGTACAAAACAATAAGTTAATTTATATAAAAAAACCTATATAATTTCACACATTTAACTTCCACCTTCACCATTTTTATCAGGAGTATTAACAAATTGTATATTGCAAGAACCTTTTTCATCTTGTACTATTTTAAAATTATCTGTTGATAAACCAAATTTTCCTAAAATAGTGTTACCAAAGCCTTTGAGTTTATCTATCATTTCAGCTTTTTCCTTTTCTTCTAATTCTTTTATTTTTGGAGGTAATCTTTTAATCGCATTAGATATCAAACTATGATTATCTAAAACTACTCGATCAGATTTATGGATTGGATCTGATGAAAGTTTCTTGTAATCTTGCAAGGATAAAAAAATTCAATTCATTTGAAAATGTGAAATAATTAAAATCAAGATAAATATTACCTTCAAGTGCAGAATTTGTTGAAAACAATGTGTTTACTTTTTCATTAGCTTGTGCTCGACGGAATAATACCTTTGTATATGCTGGATCATCTTCAAGTGCTATTAGATTATCGAAATAAAGTTTTTAATGAATCTAATGAATAAAGAAATTACATAATCTATAATTATTAACTTCTGTACCTTTTGTGCATGCATCGACTGCCTCTTTATGCCTATTCTATAAAAAATAAGAACGGATCAATTTAATCATAACGAATAAAGCATAAACTTATTCAATATTTACCAATTTAACTTCACAAGCTCCAATATTTCCCCAATAAACAGCTCTTTCTTTCTTTTTCTCAATAGGACAAGTATCTAAAGCTTTTTTATATTGTTCAATTGCTTCATCAAATTTTTTTAAACTAAAAAATTTATTTCCAGTTGATTTATGTTGCTCAGCTGTTTCTAGTAGTTCTGCAATCTCTTTAGGTGTGAATTTCGGCGTTTCTTCTATGATTTCCTCATTTTCTTGATTATTTACAGATTCTTGGTAAAATTGTTAAAGAAAATAAGAAAATACTTCTATTTAGAAAGTTAATACTTTAAAAGTAAGGAAAGTTTAATTAATCACCTTGAATTTCTTCAATTTTAGACATTATGAAATAAACTAAATAAACTACAGATTATTGTTACCGAATTTACTACTTTTTTTATACATGATTAACTTTTGTGGTACAAGAAGATGAATTTTTTTGTGTACTCGTACTACCATAAAAATCGAGATTTAATTGATTTAAATTTTTAAACTATCGGACAAGATAAATGATATTATTACAATATGCCTGTTCCGTTTGAAGCTCTTATTCCACTTGGTATGATATTATAAAGTATTATAATAATATAAAATAACTTTATTTTGACATGAAAAATATACTCTTCTTCATTAGGCCTTGTTACGGCTATGTTTGGCGTAACCGGTTCATTGCTGAATTTATCTAGAAGGTATAATAATGAAGGAAAGGTATTAATAAAATTCAATTTTTTTTTTCGAACAAATTCGAATAAAATTCAATAATTATATTAATTTATTAATTTTTTCATATATATAGCCTCCAAGGCACAGTATGGATAAATGGGATAAACAGATGTCAGAACGCGACAAAAGACTGACAGGAAGTTCAAGTCATCAATCAGTTCGTATTATTTCTTTTTTTTTAGAGAAATTAAAGTCAAAGTAAATATCTAATCCTCTTTTTGATTTTTTTTTTAAAAAAAAATGCTTGTCTAAGGCTGAACCAATTGCCCCACCAGGATTTAATACAAGTAGTATTTATTATTTGACAAATAAAAAACTTTGAGATGTTAGAACTAAATATGTATGTATATAATCATAATTCATGAAATGATTCCTTTATTTGCTTGCATTGAGTATTATGGTAGAAAAATCTTTGTGGAAATCAAAGAGAAGCATGTGATAATGATAGATAATAGTGACAAGGGACATACTTTTTCCAAGAAAGATGTACAGTATCATAAGACTAAATAAATTGTGTTACGATTTGAAGAAAAGTAATGTATTTCAACAGCTTTTGACGATAACTTCCGTTTCAAAGCTGTCATAATTCCATGTGAAAATGAAATGTCAAATATAGTTAGTATACATAAGATAGATGAATTTGAATGTTTGCCGGCGCCTTGTCGAAATCGGATTGCAATTGCTATGATCGATTTTTTTACTAGGTGCTTATTATGCTTATTACCGAAAACTTATTTTAACTTGATAACTCGATTTTTATTGGGTAACTAACTGTCTAATAATCTAATAACAGCACAATGTATCGTTATTAGGCTGTTGAATTTAATAATTCAGTAATATATAAATAAATATAATATAATCTGTAATAATTGCTATTCTTTAATAATACAAATTCTTTAAATTATTACTATTGATGAACTAAAATACAGTAAATATCAAATATACAATTCATTAGACATTAAATGACATAATGGAATCTTTAACGTGTAATTTTACGGTTCTATCAGCTACCCATTCAAAATAAACGGATTCCAATATTGAAGCAACAGATAAACGTGCTAAATTTAAATATAAAGATCAAAAATAAATAAATTAAACTGCCAACATTAAATCGGTTAATTTTAATATTATTGACAAACTCACCATCTTCACCAAGATTAAAAGCGAATGTTTTAGAAGTTCTAATAGAACTTAATAAAGGTGTTTTTCTTGATGTTCCGTTACCATTTCCTCCATTACCGTTCGTTAATGATCCTGCTATCATTCCTAACAAACCAGGGTTTGGATTCCATACTCTTACTGTACCTTCTTCCAATGAACAAGATACAATTAATCGTCCATCTCCTGAAAATGTTATTGCTGTAACTGATTTTGTATGCCCCTAAATCAATTTTTTTTTTGTGAAATAATTATAAGTCTCAAACGAATTTTATTTTCTAAAACAAAAATATCTCCTTTCCATATTTACCTCTAATATATGCAACCTAGTTGCAGTTCTTAAATCATAAATTATTGAAGCACCTTCAAGTGTACCAATAGCTAATTTTTGTGATCCACCATGAAAAGTAACTGAAGGAAATGTTTTAACCAAATCATGTAATACGCTTGTTGTGGTTTGTAATACTGTATCCCTCATTTTAGGTATATTAGGATCCAGAGATTTTACTACTGCCTCAACTAATCCAGATAAATTAGAGTGCAATAATATTGGCCTTTTACGTATAAAGATCGATATTAGTTTTAAAAATCCTGACTTTTCTGTCGGCTTCTTTGAATCATTGGTATCATGTGTTAATGTCGATATACACAATGGTGTGTTAACCGTGGATATTTGAAATATAGCTTTTTGCGCCATTGCTCTAATTGTTGCAGCATTAGTATCTGTCTCGATTGCAAATGTAAATAAAGTTTTCAACACTGCTACTGCATCAAAATGTATCAATAAAAAAGTTAAAAAGTTAAGGATATAACTATTTAGGTTTCCTAACATTTTTTATTAAGTATTAAAGGATATGAGGCTCCCACGTTGAAAATCCCCTTCCACATAATTCAAGTGCAGCCAGCCGATGTGATAATTTTGAACTATCATGTAATAATAGTACTAATGAAAGTGCAATATTTCTGGCAACGCTAAAACAATCAATTAAAAAATAGTATATTCAGTTTTTGGGTTACTTCAATATCCACACACAGTTAAGTACAAATATACAAACGTTTGTGACAAGTAATTAGGATAATCAGCTCCGATCATTCCAAGCAATATAGTTGATCTTGCCATATACTGATTATTATATATACCCGGAGAAGCTACTGCTGGTACTTAATCAAATCAATTGGATAAAATAAGTAAATCGTGGCTATGAATTTCCCAATAATTATTTGATATTGAACATACAAACTCACAAAATTGTTTCCAATAATCAATTATTGATGTTAATTCTGATGATGGCATATTATTTAAGGCTGATGAAAAAAGAGTTCTTGCTGATATTCTTATATCCTCTAATATAAAAATAATCAATAAAAATAAATAAATTTAACGTCATTTGGCTAGGTATAGTAAGCTTACCAAGTGGATCCTGGAAATATTTAGCATGAAATGCAAGAGAAGAATGATAATATTCTTTCCCAACAAGTTCTGGCAGCAATGATCCATAGTGTGTTATAAGTTCACTTGTATATTTTTCCAAGCCTATAAATATAGATTATATAAGCGCTTTTGAAAAAATCACATGAAGACAAATTTATTTACCTTTCATGGAAAGGAATGAACGTGTCAGACCGACAATCGACAATAGAAGTGAAGCTGTCATAGTTTGTGAAATTTTCCATATTGCTGCACTATCATTAGGAGAAGGAACAGCAAATGCCATATTGCCATTTGCCCTATTTGAATATTTAAGGTTACGATCACCTTTAGTATGTGAAAAGAAAGAATAACAATTATTATAAAAAATTTTTTTTTACCCTCTTAATCCAAATGTTATTCGGTTCGAAGATTTCTTTAAACCTAATTTCTCCGCACATAATTTATCCAAAGAACTGTCAATTCCCCATGTCATTAGAGTAGATATCAAAACTTGAACTGTGCTAGCATCAATAGCTTTAGTTTCTGGCTCAATTGAAGGAGACGTAGAAGTAACTGAGGATGATTGCAAAGCACCACCAGTTGTCCATGAAAATATCTTAGACACTGATGGTTTTTCATCAAAGTCTTCAATTGTTCTTGTACAATTAGACTTTGAACCAATTTGTGACACATGATAATGATAAATATCATTAATAAGTTGTTTGATATTTATTGTAAATATTTGAAGGAAAGTTTTTCCTAATATGTTATCGTCATTAATAAAGAGTACATATGGCTAGGTCACGTAAAACAGAAAAAGAAAGAGTAAGAATATTTACCACCATCAGAATTATCTGTAACAGATGTTAAAGTCTTGTTTATAACAAACTCTTGTTGTTCTACTGAGCTATGAATAAATCAAATATTAGTAATGATCCTTTCCTTAAATGGGTATTGAATAGATATTAAACCTTGTTCTCCATGATGCATCTTTTAACATATCTCTTGCAGCTGAACCTGTAACTTTTTGATAAAGCTCTAATGTCTGTGTCTAAAAATATAAAAATAGAAATAATTATAAGCAGGGATTTATATATATATATATATATATATATATAAAAAGAAAAAAGAAATTTTGTACAAAACCTGCCACATGTGGGCTGTATCATCATTATAAAATAAAATTATAAATCCTTCGGAATTTCTCCATTGAATCTTATTCAATGGATATGGATAACCTCCAAATACATATAAACTACGATAAAATAAGGTTAATAGATGTATAATAATAATATCAAATAAAATGAGAATAAAAAATAAATTTACCAGCTTAATCCTTCTAAAGATATAATAGCCAAAGAATTGTCTTTAGCAACGGATATTACACATCTTTTAAGTCTTTGACATTCATCACTAGGAGGCTCAAAGAAATGAGTGACACTCTGACTGTGATACTTAAATGAAGCAAGTTGCTTTCCTCTGTCACAAAATTAAAAAAAGGCTTCAAATGAATAATAGTACAAAATTATTATATAATAGATAAAATAAAAGAAATAATACACTATAAATAACCTACTCCAAATTCCATATTCTTACTGAACAATCTTCACCACCAGACAAAAGATATTCGTGTCCAAAATTTTGTGAATTTGGTGTATATAAACAAGTTACTTTACCTATGTGTCCTTCTAATTTGTGAATTGAATTTGGTATTGAAGTTGAATTTTGTATTTCTGCTGATTGTGTCAATGCCATTGATAATGGTACAAGATGGATTTCACCATTCTCTATAAAATAATTTTTTAAAAATATTAAAATTTATAATAAATTTGAAACAAAATTAAAAATATTACGAACCATATCCAGTAGCTAAGTAAACATCATACACCATAGTTGTAACTGTAATATTATCATTCTTATGGTTTAATTGCCATATATCAGACAAATATGTTTCTAAGGAGGAAAAAATATTAATTAAAAATTTTTTTTTTATGTTAAGGAAGATATAATGTATTTTTTATAATTTTTCATAAACTTACCAGGAGGCCATTTTAGTTCCCGAACATTATAATTATTCTCACATATTCCAGATTCTTGTGCCATTGGTGATAATGTCTTGAATGCAAATGAGGTGCCATTTATTTGATTGCGGAAAGTAATTAAATACAAATTAGATGCCTTTCCATCAATGCTTGATAATGCGAATACCGTCGTTATAGCAAGACTTTCGTTATCTGAACAAACAGTTTCTAATAACTGTGGTCTATTAATAAGAAAAATATATGTATACATATTACATATCATCAATTATTCAGCACCAAATATACACTATATATTGTCCCAACCTTAACTGAGCCGAATTTGGCATTTTTTCAACATTAGACTTTTGTAAATTAGGTAAAGATGATCTTCGAATAAGCCCTGGCTTTATATGCAAATGTGCATTTTCTGTTGGAATTTTTTTTTCCGTAAATGATGGTATTGAATACAAATAAGCATTGCCCATCTGCGTTTCCCCCAAAGATAATCAGTTATAGAATTTAATGAAAAAAAAAGTAATAGCGTTTTATCATTATTTACCTGATTCCATAATAACATTCGGTTTTTTGAGAGGAAAGCTCCGCTTGCCCAATAAATTCCTTCTTTTGAAGTTCGAATACGTTGAAAATTAACCATCTTTCCTCGACGTATTGTAAATGTCTAAATGAATAACTCGAGTTAATTTTTTTGCAAATTTTTTAAAAAAATGACAATAAATTTCCTCACATACTATAGCGTAACTTCTCGTTATGGCTAGTATAACTCCAATATCATATGGATTACTAATTAACTCTAAGATTTTATCTCCCTGAGCTTCCAGTAACCCAACATTGTCATATTCTTTATTAATATGATTTGATTCATCAAATGCCCATATCTTCAAAATTCCATTGAAATTTGAAGTTAACAATCTTATTTGACGTGCATCTAATTAAATCAAATCAAATTTAATTTAATACAAAATTACAAATTAGAAATAATAATATTGGTGTTAAATATATTAATTTACCTGAATCATAAAAAGGGGTGCAAGCAACCCAATCGTTATGACCGCCCCAAATTCGTACAAGCTAATTTAGAAAATAAATTACTCATAAAATTCTTAATAAAATCGATTACTTCTTTAAGGAAAATAAATTTACCTCTAGTGTTGTGCAATTTAGTATAGTGATCTCATTCGAAAATCCAGAGCATAAAAGAAATTTTGCTGGCTATAAATTAAAAAAAAAATCACATTTTTTTTTTTCGGGAAATATAATTAATTAAAATATTTTAATCTATTAATTACTTGAGAATATTCGGCTAATGGCTTTAAACTTTTTATAATTCCACAAAAAGCTTTAGATATGCTCGTAAGACATCTTCCATCCAGCAAACACCATTTATTGACATCTCTATAAATCGTATATAAAAATAAATTAAATATTGTAATATAATATAACAGATCAACCAAAAAAAACAAAAAAAAAATTAATTTATTTACCCGTCTTTTGAGGCGCTTATTAATACATAATCGTTTCCCGCACAACCATCGGTTTGACCTTCTATAATCGTTAATGCGGTGATCGAAGATTTATGGCCCAAACATAATATTTTATGTTGTAACTAATTTTTTATAGACAAAAAAAAAGAATCAACTTTAGATAAAAATAATTGAGGAAACGTATTATGTATATAGAGTATTTTTAAATTAAAATGATTATTAAGTACAGCATGTCGTTGAGGTAAAAAAAAATAAAAAATAATCGATTTAAAAATTCACCTGAGGAGCTCCTTGCTCGTCGATAATACAACGATATATCCAAATGTGACCGTCTTCAAGACCAGTAACAATATGACCTTCTTTGTATGCAACGGTAGTTATAGGAGCAGTAGGTAAATTAACCCAAAAAGCCAATGGAACAATCAAAGACGACGATGCCATCAAGTGAAAAAAAAAAAGTAATAAATAAAAATGTAGAAAATTAAATAAAAAATCAGCCCTTAATTTGCTAAAATATGCCGTTTATTCCGAAAATTTCCAATGGATAGGGTGAGAAAATATTAAGTATATTAAATATACAGATCTTCAATCTTTGAAATGCCACATGTCGATTATCACATAATAAACAGAGCGTCATATTCTTTCAAAAAAAAAAAAAAAACGGAGATGATATCAATGATATATCTGTCTTCTCGTTTTTCACAACGAAACCTTCCATTATTTAGACTAACGTTATGTAGACATTTTCCTACTTTTTCGCGTCGTGGACCGAGTAGACGAAGAGATCCAGTAGCTGAATTATATGATATTGAAAATATGCCAGTGTATGAGTTTGATGCAATGACCAAGCCCGGATTTGATATTTTTTTGGCTCAGCAAGAAGTTAGAAATTACTTGAGAAAAACCAAATATGAGCTGCCTCAACTTTCAAGTTAATTATACTCTAATGGATCTCTTTTTCCTGTCTTATTTTCCCTTTTTCTCACCCACTTCTGTTTCCTATCACAAATAGAGTTCGCAGAAGAGTTTATACCGCCTTCACCAACTTCAATTTTATGTTTTAAAAATTCATATTACATAGGAGAATCTTCGCCAATACAAAATAAAGTAGTCCTTACCATAGAATTACATTCTATAAAGGCATTACTTACACAAAAACAATTACATAAATTTGTTTTATTATGTGGACCTAGATTTAATGGGATAGAATTTAAATTTTCTTGCGACAAATTTCCTCATGCTAATCAAAATAAAAAATATTTAAGTGATTTGGTTGATAAACTCTTAGAAGAAGCTAAGGTAAGTTTATTTTTTATAGTTTTGTTCTTAAAAGATCTCCAAAAAATCTCTGTTTATATTTCTTTATTTAGAAAGAAGATGATAAATTTGAAGATATTCCAATGGATACAAGACATATAGAGAAAAGGTTAAAGAAAAAGAAACTGCGGGGACTTAAATTTCCAGTAGAATGGTATAGACCACCAGCAAAGGACACCAAAGTTAAAACATGACAGTACAAGAAACAGAACCCAAATGTCTTTTAACATCTTCATTCTCAATATCATGAGCTTCAAGTTCACCCCACCTTATAGTTTGTGAATTCATTTCAATTGATGAGGCTTTAGAGGCTTCTTCAACACTTAATTTTTTCTCTACTAAAGCCAATCCGATCAAAAAAGATTTTGAAATCATAGTAGCCCTTTCAAACCCTATAATAAATATAATTTAAATAAAAAAACAAATATATATACGTAGAAAAGTTAAGAACAACCATACCTGATAACTTTAAAGAATCAAAATTTTCAATAATATTCTTTAACTTTTCTTTGGTATTTTCGGGCTGTTTTAATCCGCTTATTTTATCAGTAGTTTTAATTTCAACGTTATAAGTGTTTTGTACCCAATCTAATATTGGAAGCCAATACTTTTTTTGTAATTCAACTAATGAATCAGGGTATGGTTCATGATAACAAATAGTATCATTATCAAAATATCTTAACAATCGGTTGATAACATCATGTTTCATATTATCTTTATCAATAGAAATACTAATCAATGACGTCTACATGTGTGTGCATATATATATTTCTGATCAACATTAAAAATATGTATGTAATGTATATATATGCCTAAAAAGTGATTATTTTACTTACTAAAGGTAAAGAGTGCTGTCTCAACACATGATTTTGAGATTCCCATTCTCCAGCTATTAATAATGCTAAATGTTTTTTTGAATAAGGTACAGTTAATTTTGAACCTCCCGGTGTTTTTAATGGTCTTTTGTCAAGTAATATCTCATATGTTTGTGTATCTATAATTAGGAATTATTTTAATATTAATTTCTTAATTTATTAATCAAAATTTTGTTGATATATGTACCTGGATTTAATTGGATGGATACCTGTTTCCAAAACCTTTTTAGCGCTGTCGGTTCTTCTTTTTGTTTATTACTACTAAACCTTCTTTCACTTCGTACTAATAAAGTGGAATAGGGTATTGTTTTTATTTTACTATTAATTATCCTACTAATCGCCGATAAAATTACGGAGTTCATTATTATAAAAAAGTTGAATCATCTGTAATAAAAAAAAAAAAATTTTTTTGACACATTTTATTTGGGTATGATCATCACATGATATCAAAATATCACATGGTATGAATTCTTTATTAAATTTAATTAGTGTTACACTCTTTTTTCTCTTATACTATTTTGTATTCAATAATAATAAAATCCGTAACATAATACCAGTTAATAAAGGAATAATCAAATTATCATCCAATCCCCATAAATCAATTAATTCACTGACACCACCAATTATTCCTGTTAATATAGTTAATGAAGGTAATGATAATACACTTTTTTCTTCTATCCAACTAGCATTTTCAGGATCATGTTTTAATAATCCACTGCCCCAAAATAAATAAGCAGCAATTAATCCAACCGTTATTGCGCCTAGTGTACCAGCTAATGATTTACCATTTGAAAATTTATACGTATAATGTCCCCATCTTCTACCTACAAATGATGCCGCTGTATCACACCACGATAAAATCAATATTGATATTGCTGCTATATCCTTAAATAAAGAAAAATGAATTGAATTTTTTAATTTACTTTATCCTTTATATATAAATAATAAAAAAAGAATAATTTACCTTGGGAAACAGTGTAAGAACACTAATACATCCCATTAAATAGAATATTACCCCATTACATTTTTCAGTCTTTTCTCTTTCTCGCATCAAAAATCCAAATAATTTTACATATATTTCGTTAAATCTTTTATTAAGAAATCTTAATATTTCTGCTAACGATACAATTGAAAACATATAAAGTAAATTATCCCTAACTATAATTGCATCATTACTTGAGTATATCAACAAAACAATAAATCCTATAAATTTTTTAAGAAAAATAAATCAATTCATTAATTTAAATTATAATCTAATAATAACATCAATTATACTAAATTGGTGACAATACCTATAGTGGAATGTAACAATTTCCTTGAAAATTCGCTAACATCTTTATTTTTATTAGTGTTCGTTGCCGTTATTTTTTTTATTTTTGCTTCAGCTAAAGCTGCTAGTTTCTGCTGTATGATTGGGGTTAATTTTTGTTTTTGTATTCGATTTTTTACCGCGAGGTTTCGATGTATTGCCATTTGCGTTATTTAAATACTCTATTAAGTTTTTTTCTATGATAATGAAATTAACTAACGCGTGTAATATATCCCAAATTGTTAGAAAATATTGAAATAGACGAGACCAAAAATATATAAATTTTTTTTCCAAAAAAAAATTTTTTTCTCGAAAAAAACGCGAATAGAAGCTTTTAGAATACAATTCTCAGATTGTAACAATGCATTTATGCCTGACACAACACAGCCGCTTTTTCTCGATCGGGACCGGACTTTATCTCGGCATTTTATTTAAATCTGGTCAAGTAAAGCAGGCTGAAATAATGATACATAAATGATGTAATTTATGGCTAGATAAAGAGATAAAGGATAATAACACTAACGGACTAACCCAAATACCCAATGCTTAAAATATAAATCACGTGCCCGAACTTTTTTTGCTGGGATGTAATTGTTGTATAAATATCTATATGTCGTGTGAAAAAATGGGATTTTTTAATTGGATTACACCAAGAAATTGTCCGTTTTGTTTATGTTAATTTAAATGCTATCATAATAGCTAGATGATCTGGATGAACACGTCAAACTTTAAGTGACTCAAGATACACTCCTTGATGTGACAAAACTGTATATCATAGAACAACATTATCAACTGTCATATCAAATGAGGATCATTTACAGAAAAGTACTTCAACTATTAAAGAAAGTTCAGATGGTTCGACTTTATTATAACCAAACACATTATTAGTTGAGTGTAAAATGAATAAATGATTAAATGGAAATATGAGTGAGTATATACCAATTATCATCTTTCATGCGTGAAGAAACTTTAGGTACTTTTCCTGATTAAAAATGATGACCATGATTTTGTCTAAGGATGGTAGTGATATTCTTGACCTTCGTAAATTCTACAGATGATGAATTCCAATAAATGTGATAAAAAACATTGGTTATACAGAATCCGCGGATTAGTAATAGAACAACTATAAGAGGAGACGAAAATTGTCATATCTAGAAGCAAAACCGTTCTTACAATTCTAAAAAAGGAATGTTCATACTAAAGTGACATAAATCTTTTCCACAAATCTTTTCCTCCACGTGGATTTATCTCGTATTTGCAACATCTAATTTTATAAATCATTACAAGTTCACATATAGAAAAATTGAATTTACGTCTACAATACTCTGTACCAAATCACCTTTTAATAAAGTTACATTTTTTTAGGCTAATTTTATTTGTTATATAACCTCTCTATAATATTTATAGTTTACAAATAATTTGTTATAATAAAAGAAGATAATATATTATACACAGAAATGTCTAGTTACATTGCTCTATTTGAAGGACCAGCTTTTAATTGATTTAATTGATTTGTTAATTTTACTTTATCATCAGATAACTCTGTTATATACTTTTGCATTGTTTCTATTGATTTTTCATGACTTTTTCTTTCGTCTGCAAAAATTTCCTAATATGAAATAAAAAAGATTGTTAATAAAATTTTTTTTTTTTTTTTTTTAAAAAAAAAATTATATATTTACATTTGACTTAGCCAATTCTTTTTGTAATTTAGCATTTTTGCTTTCAGCATTTGCCAATCTACTTTGCATGGTCTCTAAAGCTTTATAAAATCGGGTAGCTTTGCCATCGGCTAATTGTAGCTAAAATATCCAAGATTAATTGAAATTTTATTAGATAAAACCAGTCAAATTAATTTAATCATTCAAGGAATAATTTAATTTATACTAACCTGTTCAGTTAATTGTGTTATTTTACATTCATAATGTTTTTTGATTAAATTTTCGCGTTGTTTAGCATCATCATCTTTTCTTCCGCTCATATCACGTTCTAATGCAAGGAAACTTGCTGCTATTCCGTTACCAGTTGCATTATTATCATCATCATCAGCTAGGGTAGATTTTGCACTTGCAGCTTGTGCCGTTGATTCTTTATTTTCATTAACAGGAGGTTCAATACTAGGATTAACCGGATAAACAAACTCTACCTCTTCATCACTCTCATTTTGATCATCAAATATTTTAGAGGGACCACTTTCCTCTTTTACTTCATCACTTTGTGATGCCGATTTTAATATGGATTCTAAATTCATTAAATAAAACGTAAGTATTTAGCTCAGTATACTCACGCGAAATTGACACCATTTGAAATTAACATACCATTGAATTCGTTTGAATTTAATTTAGAATTACCGACACTATTATTCAATTTAGTACTACTTTGTTCTGATAATGATATATTATTATTATTATTATTTAAATCCTGTGAGGATACCTAAAAATAAATATATTTGTTATTAAAGACGTATTGTCATAAAATTAAGTTCACCTGAATAAGTATTACCTTTTGTTTGTCCAATTCTTCTCTTAGTCGGGAAATTTTTGCTTCTAAATCGGAGACTTTACTAGAATCGGTTTCATTTACTTTGACAAGAAATTCATTTTTTGTTGTCAATTCGAATATTTTGCCTATTTATCAAACTTTAATATAAGTAAAAATTCCGCGATAATTATAATTAAAAATCGAGCTAATCACAAAAACATACTTTGAGCAGATGTAAATTTAATCGCCAAATTTTGTAAATTTTTTTGCCATACTTGACTCGAATTTTTCACTTTTAAACTTAATTCATAAGATAAATCTGGCTAAAAACAATTACATTTTTTTAGGAGGAATTTTAGAACGAAAAAAATAAAATTTCTTCTTCGCAATTCAACCCAATACCAAAATTATTACTATTACTTACATTTTCCTTATTTTCTTTAAGTGAATTCAAATATTCTCTTGTGTTATTTTGTAATAGCCTAAAGCTTTCAATTATTTCGTTAGATTCAGAATCCATCTTTTCACTTAAAGTCTATTGTTGTTATTATTGTGAATGTGGTGATAGAAAATTAAAACATATTTTCAACATTCAAAAAAACCATTAAAATATTATTATATGTCTTATTACATTGAGTTGTTCAGACTGTGCTCCATCTGCTAAACCAAGATTAATTAAAAGAGTTTGTCTAAGTGCATTCAATTCAGCGCGTAATACGTCATCATCTTCCTTCAATTTTTGCTCGTTTTTTTCCATAAGAGCATTTGTTCTATAATAATAATAATAATGTATGTTTAAATATAAATATATAACATAAAGGTCAATCCTAATTCAACAACTTGATGAAAATGATATACATACAATTGTAATTCACGTCTTGTCTCTTCCAATTTAGCTTCAACTTCTCTCTTTTCTAGACGCATCGTACTTAGGGCTTCTTCACTTGCCATGTGTGATCTTGTTAATTCCAGCTAAATTTAAAGAATCATTTTTTCTAATTTAATATCACTAATTAACTTCTTTTTTTATGGTTATTATTATTAGTGAAGAATTTTCATTAAAATATACCTGAAGCTCTTCTTTCTTTTTCTCTAATTCGGATATATTAGATTGAAGGACATTAACATGTTGAGTGTATAAACTGTTAACTTCATAAAGTTCTTTATGCAATTTTTCTGTAATATAATAAAATATGAATAAAATAAAATAAATATTTTTAACTTTTTTTTTTTTTTTTTAAAAAAAAAAAAATGAGATGCAAAAATGTACCATTTTCTTCAATCTTTCGTGTTAAATCAATGGATCTAGCATCAAGGGAAGCTTTTAACTTTTCAATTTCTTTTTTTGTTGAACCCAATAACCAACCAGTTGATAGTTTCTAATTGATTAACAAAAAAGGAATGAGCAACATTCGCACCAATCATTTTACATAATATTCAAGCTAAAAAAAATCAATTCTCTTTACCGCATTTCCTGAATCTTGTAAACTCTGAATACGTTTGGTTAAACGTTCATTGTGAAAATTCAAAAGATCAAGTTGTTGATGCGACTAGATAATTTTTTAATTAAAAAACAGATATATATAAAATATTTTTTTATTTTTTAGTTATATTTTTCATAATTAATTGTAATAAACATACCGCTCGCAACTCTTGTTCTTTTGCTTTGCAATCTTCCTGTAACGATGCATTCGTGACTTGTTCCTATACAAAATCCAGTGTATTAGATTTTAAAAATTTGAAAAAATCATTTTAATTATTGAATGCGACAAACCTTTCTAACAGCCTTTTTAAGAACAGAATGCTGTGCTTTTATTCTAATATTAAGATAAATAATGTTTAAAAAAATGAATTAAATGAATTCTAAATAATTATGAAAGTTTTGATGCTTTTACCGAGAAAATTCTGAGAATAATTTTTGATATTTTTCTGCCAGTTCTTCAGCAGAAGTAACTCCTACTATATGGGGAAGAAAAAACTTGTTAAAAGAAAAGAAAGGAAAATAAAAAATTGAGATAAATTAAAAGTAGAACCTGAAGACTGAAGCGATGCAGAAGCGGAGATTCGGCCTTCACTCATTTTTGATAAATTATTAATATTTTTAATAAAATAAATAAAAATAAAAAATAAAAATAAAAAAATTGTAGAAAAAAAAAAATATTAAGAGAAATATTTTATTTACCGGGTAACAAAGGGTTTGAGACAACCGATAACATCATGTGTTCTAAGATAATAACTCACATGAACTACGTAGCTTACTTGTATGTAAACTAGTTTTGAATAATTTTGGGACCCTGCATCAGATTTACTATAAAAATGTGGGGAATATAGAACAATCAGAAATTATTTTACAAAGAAAAAAAAAAATAAACAGGTAATTATAGTTTGTTTTTTCAGCCTATTCAAACAAAGAGGATTAAGTCAATTCTTTTCACGAGCTTTAAAACAATGGTTGATTTTGTTCTAAAAGAGGTGTTACAAAAAAAGTATTGTGCAATCTGTTAAATTTTGTGGAGTTAAATTGGCAACGGAAAAATGAAGTAGATTGGCTTTTAAAAATATTTTTTTAAAAAAAATTACGAGATTAATTCAATATTGATAGCTGTCATTTTTTATTGTGTTAAGAAGCATGGCACCGGAATAATAAAAATCTACAAGGAATCTCAAAAAAAGAAAACAAAATTATGAAATCTTTTATCATCAATGACAATGTATTTTAAAAGAACGATTTTGTAAAATTTGAACAATTCTAAATGCAAAAGCAAAGCAAGATTATTCTTAAATTTTTTTACTATTTTACATTATTCCATTGTTTCAACTGCATTGATACAATACCATTTCAGAACCTATTTTATGTATTTAACGCAGTAATAGATCCAAAATAATTTTGATTTTGATCAATTCTGGGGAATTAAAAAAAGATCCATTCATGTAAAAGACGAAGCGATCATGTTCACCGTCATCTAATTTGTTAATGTCCCACTCCAGCGTATGATACTGCATATATCGGGTAAATTACTTTCCGGCTTCCAATAATAAAAGCAATTTAAAGTGATATAAATGGAGGTCGAAATTTTTTAATATACAAATATGAAATTAATACAAAGATTTGAAATTTGAAATTTGGAATTTGGAAATTTGGGATTCGGGATTTCCTAAGAAATTAATTCCTCAGAGTGTATTATTATTATTATTTGTATATCGGATATTTTATTTAAAATTTTTTCCCCTTTCGGCCTTTCGGATATTTTCACCATAATAAAAAATAACGATCATAATATATAGCAAATCATGTAAAGTACGGTAAAATTATGATAATTTCGTGAAGAATATCGGAAAAACTTGCAATTTGCGATTCACAAAAAAAACCGATTCTAAAAGTTTGATGATTTTTTTTTTTTTTAAAAAAAAAATGATCAATATCATAATGGTGATACGAATTACAAAAAAAAAAAATAATAATTGTCTCATCGATCTACCGATAAAATCTTCATCATCATTAGCTATATATCATCTCTATCTCCTTTTTAACGAAAAAACTATTTACTTTGGCTCATAATTTCGTAGAATAATGTCTGAAAACGTTGCTCACGCTCTTAGTGGTTTGTAAAAATTCTAATTTAAAATAAGCTTTTATTTTACTTTATTTGACTAATTCTTTAATTTAGGTGCTGGTGGAGGTATCATATCAATGGTTTTAACTTATCCATTGATTACTGTTAGTTCTCGTCTTCAAGTGCAAAAAGATACAAAGGGAGCCGATGCTTACAAAGTGATAATATTATAATTAATGTCCAAAGAAAAATTTCATTTCATATTGATGTTAATAAATTATGGTTCATTAGGGAGGAAAAGATACTATTGTCAAGATTTTGAAAAATGAGGGCTTTAGAGGATTATACTCGTAAGAATTAAAATTATAAAATTATTTCATCAAAATTTAATCCAAGCAGATCATATTAAAATGGTTGAAAGGGACTTAAATTTAAATATAATCAATTTAACTTGAAGACACCGTATGTTGTTCCTTATATATACATTATTTTTTATTAAAAAAATACAGAGGTTTAAATTCGGCCATATTCGGAATTGCGTTGACAAATGGTACGTTCGTTTTATGTTATAATTTGAAAATTATCGTAGAAACTTTGAGAAAAATTAGTTACTAACTTTGGTGAATTTCAAATTAGGCGTTTACTATTATTTTTATGAGTCTATAAAGGCCGTTTTTGAAAAAATTGAACGTCCAATATCAGTCATAGAATCCATGATCGCTGGAGCAATAGCTGGTTCAGCTACAGTTTTAGTTACAAACCCAATTTGGGTGGTAAATGTAAGTCTTAAAGGAAGATCTTTTTTTTTTAAAAAAAAAATTAACATAAATAAATTCATTTAAAAGACTCGAATGACAACACGTAAAGAACCTTTGGATGAGAATGAGAAGCAAAAACATAAAAAATTAGGAACCATCAAAACGATCTCGAAAATCATTAATGAAGATGGAATTAAAAGTTTATGGCAAGGAGTTGTCCCAGCTCTTATTCTAGTTATTAATCCAATTATTCAATATACCGTATATGAACAAATTAAGGCTCGTATAGAAAAATTTAAAGAATTAGGGAATTTGGATTTTTTTTTATTAGGAGCCATTAGTAAACTTGTTGCTACCGGTTCTACTTATCCTTACATGTAAGTATAATTTTTTTTCTAATACATATATCTTTAAATATATAATATATAATATATATATATTAATATAATATATATATTTTTTTTCATCTATTTTCAGTGTTATTAAATCACGTATGCAGTTACGTCAAACTGATGATGCACGTTATAAAAATACATGGGATGGACTTCAGAAAATCATCGCAAATGAAGGTTACAGTGGCCTTTATAAGGGAATTGCATCAAAATTACTTCAATCAGTTTTGACTGCCGCATTTTTATTCATGTATAAGGAAGCTTTATTCAAGTTATCCGTTAAAATTTTATCATTAATGAAAATCAAAAATGTTGAAGCTTTATTCAAGTTATCCGTTAAAAAATTATCATTAATGAAAATCAAAAATGTTCAATGATAAATTATGAAATTAATTTTTGGCCAAAATTAAGAAAAAAAAAAAAAAAAAGACAATTTTCGTTTTTTCCTCGTGATTATAATTAATAATTTATTTAATAATCAGATAATTTACATTGTAGATGAGATATAGTTTATCCGTTTATGTATTGATTAGTATTAATTAAGAATAAATTAAAACTATAATGAAATTCGCGAAACTGTTGGGGAACACTTAATGTTTATGGAAAAGATTTTACTTTACATTCCCTAATTTATAAATTCCATTGTTCTGCTAATAATCTTTAAGGTACATTCAAAAATGTACACGGACTTTGGAAAATCTATTTGATGATTGAAAGTTTACTTTTTTTAAAAAAAAAATGGGCGGGGAAGATGATGAAAAAAAAAAATATGTTTGATAATATAAGCGCGTGATCAAATTAAAGTTTACTCATTAAAATCAATTTTCAACTGGAATTTACATAAAGTTATAATACATATATGGTATGGATCAACTGTACGAACAAAATATTGCGTTATATCTTCGTTTTTTCATGTAATTTACATACGTTTTACTTTTTACTCACGATAAAAAGAATTGTACCACAGGAATTTATACATATACAGATAAAACTAGTAATTATTTATCATTTATATAAAAACTTTTATCAAATTTTTTAAAAAAAAAGGAATAAAAAGCAAATTTCAAAAAAAGCAAACCAAACCCACAAGATCGTGCATTAAAAGCATTTGATAATTTTTTTCTCGATCACAAATTCTATGCCGTGTAACTTTACAGGTATTTGGCTTTCTTTTATTATTTTATTAAGGTAAAGAGCCGCTTAAATAGCGGAGAAACCGTTGATTTTAGTGAGCCAACTTGAAAAAGTCAAGAATTTAGATGAACGACAAAACAACACCAACAAGGGTAGTTACGGGGGAAGTCCTGAGTCATGAAATGATAACTCACGATAAAATTAAAGATTTCTTTAATATATTGAATCTCTCCATTTAGTAATCAACACTCCGAAAATGTTTACCAAATATTTATTGTAGATAAAAACAAGAAAAAAGAATTTTTCATGCGGGATAAAATGTTTGTGCATAATTGTCATAATTATGTTCGAAAGACTCGCATATAATCGCACAGACAAATCGATGAATGCTAGACTTTTTTTACGATGCTTAGAGATTTCAAAAAAAAAAATATATATATATATATTCGGTTCCTTTTAATTATATATATTATATATACAGTATACGCCTACAAACTGAATAAATCATTCTTTGGAATGAAAAGGGTTGAAAAAGTTCAAATTTTTTATAACTTTTCTGTCAATTAAATTTTAAGATTCATCTATGACCCGAAATGCGAATCCTTACCGTTCTAATCATTTTTTCTTGCCCGGTAACTGTGAGATTAAAAATCTAGATTTTTTCTCTCGATATAAACGTATATAGTAAATATTTATGAAGATAACAGCAGGTTTCTTTTGATTTGGTGAGATGTTTGACAGAGTTTCAGTTTGTGTTGTGCGGGATTTGTGGCGCATTGCATAAAATTTACTAAATTTATAATTTATTATTAAAACAAATTATATATTATTACGTAAAATATATTTATGTATTATAAAAAATGTACTTCGGCTATTTTATGAAGAATTTTACCGGTAAACCCAAAATTACTGAAAAAATAAAAACTTTTGCAATTTAAGGTCTTTCAACCGTTCACGCATTCACGCATAAAACTCATACATTATTCCACAATCAGGTTCTTTACAACTGATGTAATGTTACATAAAAAACTTTAATCAATTAAAAATTTCGTTTACCTAATTTTTTTTTATTCATACTATTTATCGATTAAAAAACTCATGTTCCCCTTCTTATCTGATATCATTAAAAGAAATTCTACGGAATACGGATATTATGTCGGACGAATGTAAATTATTTTGATTAATTTGGCTGAATTAATTCAAGTTCACCTTCCTATTAAAATATTAAGATTTAGTTACACGTGATGTAAAATAAATTACTTTGTTTACAGGAAAAAGAATAGATTTCCTCTCCTACCTTTTACCTTTTCGGTAAAAATTTTCAATAGACGTTGCACCTTTTTTTGAAATATTTCTCCGATAGTTCAATGCATATGGGAGTGAAATCATTTATTTATATTTCTGTTTCCTATATTAAAAAACATCAAGATTTATATCAGTAATACGATAATATAAAAATCTTTTTTAAATAATGAATATTATTTATTCATTGAACCCAGAAAAAGCAATGAATCAAAAATTTTTTTTTTTTTTTTTTTTTTTATAACTATTACTTTAGAACTCTTGTGTTGCAGGAGACAACAAAAAAAACCAGTAGTTTTATGCATATATCATCGTGTAACCTTGCTTTTCTTTTCGTTACCCCACAGGCATCTGTTTAATTATTAAACGTTAAAGATAAGTAAAATTTTTAAAGATATTTCATGTAAAGTAATAATCCTCAAGTGAGAATTTTGAGTTATGTCTTTGTTATGATTTGGCTTTTGTTTTTTCATTCCTTCGCTTCTTTGTTTTTATTCAGTTCTGTTAATTATCTGCGTCTTATCGCCCAAACCAGTACACAATTATAACTCTTCCAGGTATAGTAAATCAAAAAAACCTGTTTAATCTTATTTGTCAGTTCATTTTATTTGTGTTCGTAAAAGCAAAAAAAAAACACAACAAAAAAAATTAATAAAAGGACCAACATCTCACATCCCCCTCCTCCCGCGCTCTTTGCAGCACTTTCTTAACTGTTTGTGTCGCCTAATTTTTTTCAAAAAAATCATTTTCTCTTGAAAATCCTAAGTAAAAAAAATTTTTTTTTATACATAGCTTATAGTGTATTACATCCAGGTGTTTAAAAAAAAAAAAAAAAAAAAAAA